GTTTCGGTTTCGTTTTCTCTCTTTGCTTCTTGCTGTACAGACTACCACCGGCTGGCTGGTTTGCTCTGTAAGTAAGGCTTTTCCCTATTGAATACCCTTATATTTCTACCTGACTCCGTATTGGTAATTTCCTACTATAAGGTGCCAAAATAACAAATTAAAAAGACCACAAGACAATTCTTAATGTTTTCAGATAGACTTTTTCCAGCAAGGTAGAGTCAAATCAAGTAGAGTTGGATGCATTCCATTCTAGATCTATAAAACAACAGCATATATAACCCAAGAGACTGTAGAGAAGGGGAGATGATGGAACCCCAAGAGACTTTAGAGGAGGGGAGAATGGCAGAACCCCAAGAGACTTTAGAGGAGGGGAGAATGGCAGAGCCCCAAGAGACTTTAGAGAAGGAGAGAATGATGGAGCCCTATAGTAAGATGCTCAAAGGAACTGAAGTCTGAGGAAGATTTTGCACTGTTAATATCAGGAGCTGCTGAAAGCAAACACTTAATTTCTATTAAATAAGCCACATTTGATAAACTAAAACACATTAGTAAGGAAATCTGGGGTTAATGAGTTGGTTCAATGAGACAAGGTACTTGCTGCCAAGTCTGAAAGCCTGGGTTCAATCTGCAGGAACCTGCATAATGGAAGGAGAGAACCAACTCCCACGTGTGGTCCTCTGGCCTCCCCATATACACCACGGTGAGTGTGTGCACAAATTTACACATGCACAAATAATCAGATAAACATAATAAAAATTTAATAAGATAGCATGCAAATAATTCTTCATTGGAAATATCAACAGAAATATAGACTAAAATCACTGATTTTATAAACAACTTGATATCTATAGAGAATTTTTTAACACATGACTAATACATTTTTAAAGGAAAGTGATCTCATGTAGCCCAAGTTAGCCTTGGAGTCTCTATACAGCCAGAGATGATGAATTTTTCCCCCTCTTCCTCTGTCTTGGGAGTCCTCAGACCATAAGTGTGTACCACCACTCTTGATTTTAAATTTATATTTCTTGAGTTAGAAAAACTGTGTTATCCATCAGAAAATAAAAAGACTTTAAATAACATATTTTAAAAAAATTAGTCCTATATAATGCAACTTCCAATACCATAAAGACTATTAGATACTCACTTTCACCTGCAAGTCCTCGGAGCTCTCTGGTGACATGTACAAAGAAAGCAGAACTGGCAGAGTGTTTGTGACTGCAACAGCCCTGGCATGCTCTGGCGTGTGTCTTCCCAGTTGCCCTAAGGCCCAGGCGGCGGCAGCCTTAATATGATCTTCTGGTTCTTCTGAGAGGCAGATGGACAACTGGGGTACACCCTGCCAGGGACCCAAAGAGTGAATGTTATATATAAATCTAGAGCAGACTTGGAGAATCTACCCTGTCTCTCGGGCATCAAAAGATACTTTGACCTTCATCCTTTTATCCTGAGTGATTCAAGAAATGGGCACATCATAAAGCCTGACATTTAAGTCAAGAGTCTGGCTAGAACCAAACTCGATTAATTATCTCTAACAAGCTAACTTCACTATCCTTGTATCTCTAATATCTTTTACTCCCCAAATGAAGGGACATTCAAAGGAACAGCAGATGCCACTCACCGAGCAAAAAAACAAATGCTACTCTGGCCAACTAAAACTATTTGGGATCGTAAAACCTTTATTTTCCCTTGTTTAAAAAGTTAATGAAGGGGGGATGGAAGGATGGCTTAGAGGTTAAGAGCACTGCCTCCTCTTCCAGAGGTCCTGAATTCAATTCCCAGCAACCACATGGTAGCCACAGTCATCTTTAGTAGGATCTGATGCCCTCTTCTGGTGTGCACGCATACATGCAGATAAAGCACTCATATTCATAAAATAAACAGATAAATATTTTTAAAAAGCTAGCCAAGGACTGAGGATATAGCCAAGAAAGAGCCCTTACCTATCATGTGTGAAACCCTGGGTACAATCTTCAACAACACACACACATAAAAAAAAAAACCATTAATTTTCACCAGTTACAGTAAATCTGAGAATGACATTATGATAGAGTAAAATTTTAACAATACGAGCAAGTGGAATATATCCCACTAATATCTTTCTTGAAGTAGCACATGTTTACTTATTTATTTATTTATTATTGTGGTCAACTTAACTACAGTTTTATTCATCCTAACACGACCGAATGCATAAGTAGGAATGAATCCTTTTTGTTATACTAGTAGAATATGCTTACATTTTATATCTTAAGCATTAATGTTAACTAAATAATAAAAGCACAACTACCTAGAATACCTCCAACACATCACAGTTTATGTATCAAAGGCAAACAACTCAATGATCCGGGTAAAGGTTAAAATTACTAGGTTGCAGTTCCATTTCCTGAAGAGACCTACCATATTTTTTATCTGCTCCTTTCCTGCAACTACATACTGTGTCCACCAAGACAAAAGAGTGAAGTGATGCTCTAAAGGGCCCATACTTGTAACAAAACAGAGGAAGGGGAGGAGAGGGAAACAGCTCATAGACCCAATCCCCAGCTCTTCCTTACAGGCTTGCTGCCTATGAATGTTCCATGGCACAAGGACTTACAGAGTGCCATTGAACGTCACGCATTGCTTCCCCTCCCCTTTCCTCCCTCCAAACTTTCCCACATATCCCTCCTTGCTCTCTTTCAAATTCATGGTCACTTTTTTCACTAGTTGCTGTGTGTGTGTGTGTGTGTGTGTGTGTGTGTGTGTGTGTGTGTGTGCCTAGCTAGTGATTTAGCTCTGCAATCTGCCCCACTGATATAATTTTACTTGTATGTTTATGCTTTTAGGGCTGACTGTTTGGTATTGGAAAACTGGTCTGCAGAAGAGGAAAATTATGTAATTTCTTTACAATCTCAAAAAATAAAAATAAATGGTGTTTGTTTGGTTGTTGAGACAGGGTTTCTCTGTGTAGCCCAAGCTGTTCTGGAACTCACTACGTAGATCAGGCTGGCCTTGAACTCACAGAGATCTTATAACATGAATAATAAAAACCCAGAGCCAGATATTGGGGTTCAAGCTGAAGATCAGAAAAGCAAAGTAGCGGACCACTAGCTCTTACCTCTACCTCAGGCTGAAAGGGCTGCCCTTCCTCAGAGTGGCTGGAGAATAAATCTCTGAGACTGAATACTGAATGCCCCACTCCTACCTTATATGCCTCTCTAGAGCTGGGATTACAGGCATGAGACTCCAAGTGCTGAGATCTCCTTTGTATGAGCTGTTTCTCTTTTAAACTGGATCAATTTTGTGTAGCTCAATGTGGCCTTGAACTAACAGAGATCCGTCTGCCTCTGTCTCCTGAGTCCTGGGATTAAAGGCGTGCACCACCACTGCCTGGCCTCTATGACTTGTGGCTAGCTTTGCATTCTGAACCTTCAGGAAAGTTTTGTTAAATCATAAGTAATATATCACCACAGATCTGCCTGCCTCAGTCTCCCAAGTGCTAGGATTAAAGGCATGCACTATCACTGCCTGACCCCCCCCCAAAAAATAATAGCTTTAAAAAACTAAGCATTATCACTAGGAGTGCTATACTGCTTTGTGCTTTGTCTCAAAAGACTGCTACCACTTTGATTTCTAAGAAACTGAAAATACAATGGAAAAACAGGCAGCAGAGGGAGCGCTTCCTGGCTGCTTGAGCTGGGGACCAGGAGGCATCAATTGCTGCATTTTCATCACTGTTCCTACATGGTAGCTAAGGAGCAAAAACCCTTGCTCACAGTAACTCTTCTAAAAGGACCACTGCTGCTTTCGCCACTGTCATTGCCTGCGATAATGTAAAAATAGAAAGGAAAGAGCAGGATAAAAGGACAAAGGCTGCTCAAACTCTTGATTAGCAGGCAAGGTAAAGCATTCATGTTCCAGTTTAACACACAGCAGCAAGTCATCTGTGCTGCTGAGACCAGACACCTTAGAGGTTTACCATCGGTTGTGATTACACAGCCTCTGACTAGTTCTTCAGGAGGTCAATATTTCTGCACCAACACACTTTATGAGTATCTACTATGACCCCAGGGTGCACTCCATAGTGAGTTTTTACAAAGTCATAGGTTGATTCAAGTCAAAAAATAAAAACTAAAAAAAAATCCCCAGAGCAAAGAAACGAGCAAAGCAATGCACTCTGCTATGTGCACTGCTGTCCTGTACCTGAGGAAGGAAAAGTGTCATGAGATGTCTTCATAGACAAATGACAGGAAAGGGAGGAATGTGGAGACCACTGAGAACAGAGAAAATGACTAATGATCAAACTGTTTACAATGGGTTTTGTTTATTTGGTTTAGTTTGTTTGGTTTGTCTGAGACAGGGTCTCACTATGAAGACCAACTGACTTGGAACTCAGGAGATCCACTCAGCTTGCTAGTGGATTGAACGCATGTGCCACAACCCAGCTATGGTGTTTTTAACCACAGTGTACTTAGCATGTTAGTAAATATGCAAATGAATATTCTTTAATATATATGTACAGCTAACAAATAATTTTCAGATAAGAGTAATACTTAAAGGTGGCAATAATTATTGACACCAGATGCTGAGTGAAACAACATTTTCTGTGACCTTATTGCTTTCTTCAAGGTTCACTCCAGGACACATACTAAGGAGCACTGAATTCAACAGTGAAACACCTAGAAAGTAGGCGAGTTTTGCTCTGTTCAGTTATATTTTCCTTTCTGATGGAGACCTCAGAAAAGCCGATGGCATCACCGGAAGTGAGGAGCACACACCTTGGAGATGATCACTGCCATGGCCAGGTTCTCAGAATGAGCAGCCACGTAACCCAGCATCATGATGCCAGGCAGCCGGATGTTCCCTTTGCAGGATCCGATGCAGTCAGTCACAGCAGCCACGCCTCCTGCATTAACAATCAGCTGTGAAAGCTGAGGAGCAAACAACAAAAACCCAGACAACATAAGATGATCTCTAAATATGGCTTGACAACACCTTATTTAGGACTTAAAATGCAATTGATAAATTGAAATGTGACTCAGAAATTATTGTACTTTCTAAAGAGACACACAGGTGTAACACTCTTGCTGTTTACAGATACACTCACTGTGAAGAACCTTATTCTGTAGTTCAGTTTTCTTCACATCAGTGCAACAAGCTTTATCCCTGTTGTAATGGATGTCAAAATCCTTCACCTAGACACTAAGCTGAGAGCTAGTTCAGAACTAGCTAATTACTCAGCTTATACTAATCACTGAAGGCTCAGACACTTGGAATTGTCTAAACCACTTGCCCCTTTGATGGCAATGACTAGTAAGCTGAGTGTACTTCAAGTATGGGAAAATTCCATGCAAATAGATAAATGAGACATGAGAACTAATGTGTAATAAAATTAAAACTGGTTAAGCAATGCATACACAGAAATGGTTAAAACTTTATAATCAATACAGGTTTGCTTTGTGTTTATTTTTCCCATGTAAATCTAGAGTACTGATACCAGGTAAGGGAATCTTTGCCGTCTGAACCAACCTAGCTGGCATAATGGTGAGGGTAACAGAGGTCCACAGTCCCTACACCTATGAATGGAAAGCTATAAGTGATTAGAAACTAGATTTTAAACCCCAACTACATTAATACAATCCAGTGGTTCTCGACTGGAGGGAATTTTACAGCCTGCAGAACATTTGGCAATGTACAGAGTCACTTTTTGATTGTCACCTGGGAGAAGGGCACTGCAGTCATCTAGTGGGCAGAAGCCAGGAATACTTGTGCCCACTAAAAGTAAGCATAATTGCATCCTGAAGTTCACTTTTCAGATGTTTGTTGTTTTTACCTCAGGCGTATGTTTTGCAATCTCTCTAATTAAAGTGCAAGCGTTTTTCTTCACGTATTCATCTTTGTCCTTCAGACAGGTAAGTACAACCGGGAAAATCTCTGCTTCAACAACCATCTCTGCCAGGTCCACAGAATGTTTTGCAATCTGACTGAGAGCTGACAGGACCTGACGCTGTTGAGCAAAAATTAAAATGGAACATTATACAGAATCCAATAGTCCACCTTATAATTCAGATGTAATTTTAAAAGATTTATAATATTCCCATGCAGTGCTGTTTTTGAAGTAGTAAGGAAATTTTAAAGAGCAGCTGAGGCTTGGCATTGTGTCGCAAGGTTGGAGCCTCCCTGAAGGGAGGCCAGGAGGCTACTGTGAAGGCACAGCTTCCATTCTTAGGACTGAAGGCGTCATTGGGCAAAGCTGAGGCTTGATACCCTGTGGCAGGGTCAGAATTACTAAAGGGGCCAGGAGAGGCCACCAGTGAAGGTACGGCCTCAGTTTCAGTGGAGACTCCAGCATACGGGAGCTACAAAGGACAGGGGCAGGTGTGGGGTGAAGCTGACCTGAGTCTACCAGACAAGATGTGCGTGCTGCAGATGGCAGAGCTGGAGATGTAGCTTTGGAGACCAGAAGACCTTGAGTGAATCAAAGACCTCAGGCACTGAGTTATACTCTTGGGGTTACACTGTTTTGCTTTGATCTGATGTGCCCTGGTTTTCTCATCTTTTAGTAAGAAAATAAGTAATAATTTTTTACAAGAGCCCACAGCTAAGAGACTCTGAGTTTTTAAGACACAGTGATGTCTCAAAGTGTTAGCATTTCTAACGATTAGGGGACGTTAGAAATTGTACTATATTTATATTATGATTTTAATGTTAGACCTTGGGGGCAAAAAAAAAAGAAAATGTTATGGTTTAAAGTGATGGGCTTATATGCCCAAGTTGACAAGTATGGGGTGTCATAGTTAGCTTCAGCTGTCAACATGACACAAACCTACAGTCACCTGGGAAGAGGGAACATTAAATGAAGAACTGAACAGATTGTCTGTGAGGCAGTTTCTTAGTTGCCAAATGATGTAGGAGGCTCCAACTCACTGTGGGCAGCGCCATCCCTAGGCAGGTAGACCTGGGCTGTGTAAGAAAGGAGAGAGCCAGGAAAGCAGGCCCACAATCAGCTTTCCTCTGTGGTCTCTACTTTAGGTCCTGCCTCCAGTTTCCATCCTTGAGCTCCTCTCCTGGCTTCCCTCAGTGATGGACTCTAACCTGCAAACTAAATAAACCCTTTTCCCCCCGTGTTGCTTTGGTTATGGTGTTTTTATCATAGAAGGAGAACAAATGAAACACAGTTTTCCCAATCATATCTCTACTTTATAGCATTGTTTTCACACATTAAAAGACAAACTACATATTTGTATGTTTTCAATTATATTTACTAATTCTTTTTACTATATATATTTTCATTTTCCTAGACTACAAAAGCACTGGCTCATCTGTCTCTTAACCTCCTTTTCATTACCTTCAATTTTGCATCAGGGTTGAGGATCATCTGGGCTAAGTGAGCAATGGCTCCCGCATCCACCACGGTCTGTGCTAACTCTGGAGAGTGCTTTGATATATCACTGAGGGCTGAGGCAGCAATCCTTTTCAAAGCAATTTCTGGCTCCTGGATACAGAGAACTAAAAGAGGAATTGCTCCTGCATCCACCACAGCTTGAGATAATTCTGTGGGTCCAAGAAAAGTTAGTAAGTATTGGTGACTGACTCTTAGCTAAGCCATTTTTCACACTGACGGGTACAGCAAATACAAAGGATGAGAGTGTATTTGACCCTTTAGACAGCTTCATTTTAAGTCACTTGGTGGAATAGGTGATCACTGTTTCTCTCACACACCACATCTACAGTGAGAAACAAAAGAGAACTCCAAGCATGATATGGGGAGGATCTAGGAGGATCATGGGGAGGGAAACTATGATTAGAATATATGACAGGAAAAATGTTCTTAATAAAAAGCATATATAAAGAGTGAACTCATGTTGACTAAAAAAAAAAAAAGACAAAGCAGAGAAGAATGCCTCCACTTTTAAACCTTGGATTAAATTGTATGCTATCTTAAATGACCTGTGAAAGGATTTCTGGATAGGAAAAAATGACAGTCTTTCGACTTTTAATTCTTGAGGTCGTGTCTTGGTTTTTTTGTTGCTGTTGTGGTTTGGTTTTGGTTGTTGTTGTTTTGAGTGTGTGTGTGTGTGTGTGTGTGTGTGTGTGTGTGTGTGTGTGTGTGTGTGTGTGTGGGTGTTGACAGGGGGGAGGGCAAGGGACACAC